ACCGCCGATAATTGTCTCTCGTTTGGGGGGTTGGCTCTGTCCATCACCTCTCGATAACCGCGCCGGTGGCCCGGGCGTGGAGCATCCAGCTCTTTTCGGAAATTCCGAAAAAAAAACCACCGGCGGGAGCCGGGCCGAGCGGGGACCGGTCGCCTTTTGCGCGGCGGCCCCCTTCTCCAAGGCGGGCCGCTCCGACCGCGTGTCACCGATACTCCCGGTCCATTCGAGGCCGAGCCCCGGCGTCCCGGGACCCGGCGAGCCAGGTTATCCAGAGTTCACCAACGGAGCAAGGTCGGCGCTTGCTGGCATGTATTAGCTCTAGAATTACCACAGCTATCCATGTAGGGGGATGCGCTCCAAGGAACCATAACTGATTTAATGAGCCATCCGCAGTTTCGCTTAGTAAAGCTTTTACTTAGACATGCATGGCTTAATCTTTGAGACAATCTTTGACTACTGGCAGGAAAAACCAGGTAGCCCCTCGGGGCCGGGGCCCGCCACCTCGGGCCCTCCGGACTGCTCGGCCACGCCGCGGCTGCCGGACCGCAGCACCGGAGTCCTGCGCCTCTCTGCTCTCGCTCGCCGCCCGGCCTCCACTGGAATGCCGCCCGCCACCGGTCCCTCGCCCTCTCCGGCCCGGCCGGGGCGGCACTTCCTCTCTTTCCCCGGGCGCGCGGGCGGCCGCTGAAATGCCGCGGGCCGACCCGGTGCACCCGCCTCCTCTCGCCTCGATCCCGGAGGGGGCGGCCGGACCATCCGGGATCCTGCTGGATCCCTGCGGTGCGCTGCCTGCCGCCTGCTCAACGGGCGTGCTGCGGGGTCGCGCGCGGCTCCGGCCGGGGGGGTGTAGCTGCCGGCTACCGGGCCTGGGACGCCGCCGCGCGACGTCAGTGCGTCTTGGGCTGCCGGAACCCAGGGCTGGCCGGTCCCTCCGCTCCGCAGAAGCTGCCGGGCCGATCCGGACGTCGGAGATATTGCTGCTCGGGGCAGCGGAGAGCCCGCTGCTCTCCGAGGGGCCCTGGCTCCCCTCTCCTTCGTTCTCTCCCGCTCGCTCTTCCGCAGTGGGCCGGGCTGCCGCTCCAGCCCCTCCTGAAGGCTTGCGGCCACGCAACACTGCACCTCCCGTCCGGGGTCTGGCCGAACTGCGACTCGGGAACGGCCTTTCCAACACCTCTGGGCAAGGCCGGGCGGGCCGGCCGACGCTGTTCTGGGCATGAAGGGTCGGCTGGCCGTGCCGAAAGCGCCGTTGACGGAGCGCCCGGGGGCCCTCCCGGCGGGGCGGCGAGCCGCCACTTTCGTCGAGCCGCTCCGGAGCGGACCTGTCCAAACCCCAGGGGGGATCGCTCCGGAGGCTTGGGCTCGACCGTGTAGGAATAGTCGTTTTGTATGGACAATATATGGCTGTACTGATATCTGGCACCTGGAGCTGAGCTTGAGACCACCCTCCCCCTATAAATAGGCAAACCAGGGAGTGGGGGTAAAGGTCCAAAATGCTCTTATTGAAATACGCACGTTTTGGGCCCAACCTGTCCCGGCGCAAAGCCCTCCCAGAGGCCTTGGGGTGGCCGGCGAGCCGATGGACGGCAGGCCGGGGGCGCCCGGCCCGCTCTCCGCGGGCAACCCCGCACATCCGAACCTCTCGGACCAGGTTTTCCGAGGAAGGCGATTCACTGCGCCACACCACTCACCCCGCCCGCATGGAGCCGTTTTCGCCAGGGGAAGCGTGTCGGGAAGTGCACGGCTTTAGGGGGACGGCGTGCGGCTGCGGTGGTTTTTTTCCCCAGGACGGCAATTCGCCAGTCCCGGCCGCTCCGGAGCCGGGCTTGTCCAGACCCCAGGGGGAATGCTCCGAAGCCTTGGGCTCAACTGTGTGGGAATGGCCGTATCGTATGGACAATATATGGCTGTACTGATTTCTGGCAGCTGGAGCTGAGCTCGAGACCACCCTCCCCCTATTAATAAGCAAACCAGGGAGTGGGGGTTAAGGTCCAAAAAGCTCTTATTGAAATACACACGTTTCTGGCCCAACAGACCCCGACAAGAGACGCTCTTGAGAGCCGGGCTGCCTCGCCGACTCGTTCGCAGGTGGGCACGAGTCGGTTTTTGCGCCCGAGTCGGTTCGAAACCGGAGATCCGACCTTTTGCGGACCACGAAGTCCGAAGAAGAAATCTTCAGCGGGCGGCCACGCAGCGCCGCCCGTCTGACACCCACGGCGGGACCGGTGCCGCCCGCTGCGAGACTCTGTCCCCGGCCGGAGGCCCCGGTCCCTCCCCGCACGACGGCATTGGGACCGACTTGGCAACTCGCCACCTCGGCGCTACTCCCCCAGAGCCCTCCTGCGGGGGAAACTGCCAACCCTGGATTTCAAGTCACTTCATGGCGGCCCCCTCAGACCGAGCTTCGCTGAATCTC